AAAAAATTATGTATATATATATATATATATATATATATATATATATATATATATATATATATATAACTGTTTTGTTCTTGGTCAGTTAAGATAAATGAAAATAATGGGTTAAATTCAGATAAATAAAAATAAAAATGTGTACAACGCTTTGCACATTACATGCATGAAAATGTCTCTTGCTGCAAAGCTTATGAAATCCCATGCAGAAAACATCCATTTGAATAATTAAATTCAATAAACAACATTTTTTTTCCATCTTTATAAAGCATTTCAAATGTTAGCCATAAATTATATCTTTAATTAATGAGAACATTGTTAATAAATAAGAGGATACAGGTTTTTTTAAGAGTGTTGTAGCTGCGTTTAGGTGTTATTTGCAGCCTGAGGCCTACCTGAAGCTGCCAGGTGGAGAGACCTCAGCTCCACGTGATAAATACATGACTAATTACAGACCTGCTTATGAAAATTGAACGCTAGTGTTATGCTAATACGCGGCTTCCTCCTAATGGCGCGTTAGGAGCTTTAATTAAAAAAGAAGCTTTAATCAGACTGGCCGGCAGCAGCTGGAACTGTGATGAAAATGTTGTTTGAACTCCCAGGAAAAGGCGCGACATTGACGCTCCAGTGAATCTTAACATGTCAAAAAGGAGCTCTGAGGTTTTTCTGGGTTTCCTTGACTTCACCAGGTTCTTCGGACCCAGCCCCAGCTCCACCAATCGGCGTCTCCCTTGGAGAGCGTGGACCAATCAGTGACAGCCTCCGATGAATATTCATGAGTCCGAGATTCAAACCTTTGAGCGAGTTTGTCTTGCTCCACAGCATCACTCCTGGGACTTTTTCACGGGCACAAACTGCATTTTCTTATGAATGGAAAGAGAAAAAATGCGCTCGGCTTAAATTGGGATCCATCCTTCACTGAGATCATTGGAGGGAAACAACAAAAGCGAGACGAGGGGATCTGCCAGAAGAGATGACAATGACTACGATTCCAGAAAGTCTTAATAGCCCTGCCTCAGGAAAAGCCGTTTTCATGGAGTTTGGACCCCCGAGTCAACAAATGTCGCCTTCCTCCATGTCTCACGGACACTACCCCATGCACTGTTTACATTCTGCAGGTCACACACAGCATGACAGCTACAGTCCGGCCTCGTCCTTCCCCAGATCTTTGGGTTATCCATACGGCAGCCACCCCACCAGTCCATATCTCAGCACAGTACAGACTTACCAAAACAGCTCGGGGCTCACGCAGACACGACTGGAGGACGCAGGTACGTTGACTTTCTGTGTTTCTTCGGCTCCCTGCTTGGAATAAAAAGACGCCCCAGATGTGGGACCAAGCTTGTCAATTATTTATTGCGTAACGCTATAAACAATGTATGCAATTAAGGGTAATTATACTTAAAGTACAGCTTGTTAACTTGTGCTGAAGTATTCACTGCAGCGCAGAACTACAGCTGCTCCTCGCTTCTGTTCCCTTCATTTTTTTTTCTTTTTTTTTTTAACCCCTTTTCCCACTTTTTGTCTCCATCAGCGCCAGAAACGGAGAAAAACACGGTGGTGGAAGGCGGGGAGGTGCGATTCAACGGCAAGGGGAAAAAGATTAGAAAACCAAGGACTATATATTCCAGTTTACAGCTCCAGGCTTTGAACAGGAGGTTTCAACAGACTCAGTATTTGGCGTTACCGGAGAGAGCGGAGCTCGCAGCGTCGCTGGGTCTCACTCAGACACAGGCAAGGCTGAGGAACTCACAAATAGCTCCACACTACAGGACAATCAAATTATTATTAACATGATTATTATGATTATTATTATGATGATTATTATATTATTATTGTTATTCCATTGGATCGCATGCGTAAGGCGCGCGTAAATCGTGCGTAAAACACCCTTTTCCTAATTAAAATGATTTCCTTTGTCTCTGCAGGTGAAAATCTGGTTTCAGAATAAACGCTCCAAATTCAAGAAGCTGATGAAGCAGGGCGGCAGCACGATTGACACCAACGTTTTAGCCACGGGCCGTGGACTTTCGAGCGGCTCCCCCTCCGTTGCGCCCGTATGGACCTCGCCGACCACCGTGAAGGCTTCTGTGGGCACCACGGGCTCTTATATCCCCAGCTACACCTCGTGGTACCCAAGCACGCACCAAGAGTCTATGCAACAGTCGCAGCTCATGTGAAGAGAGACCGGAGTGTCGGGATGGTGACGGGCCGGCTCAGCATTGATGATGCTCGACAATAAAAACCGGAGACTGTTGCTGCCGCATCCCTGCGCGCTCACACACGGAGGCCTCCTCAGACCGGGTGACGGCAGGCGGAGGAGAAGCAGGGGGAGAAGAATGAGAATGAGGGAGATGAGGGGGTGAAACGGCGCACAATGCATCCAGGGCAGCAAGTCCAGCGGAAACCATAAAGGCAAAAAAAAAAAAAAAAAGCATCCTTCTTTTGGCTGCTCTCAATTTCTTAATTTGTGTGAAGAGTTTAGTTGCTGAGCTTGTTCTGTTTAGAAGAAAACACGGGTTTGTTGGCGCCACAAGTTGAGTCTTAAGGTGATGATGACCTCAAACCATTCGAGGCCAATCAGGCCACAGCAGCGCGCCTTTAACCAAATTATTGATCACAAATGGCGCGCAGGCCATCACACGCACACATGTTCTGTTTACGTGTTCCTTATTTAAGTTAAATTATTCAGACCTTTCTGTTAGTCTGTGTTCTGTTTGTGAAAGCAACACTGTGTTGTTGATGCTGCACTAAAGCTTTTTCTATGCCGTGCCCCCCCCCCCCCCCCCCCCCATGTGATGTGAAAAATAGAAAAGGCCAGACGACTCGCTGCTTCAGAAAAAAAGAGAAGAAAAAGAAAAGCCCGAGGAAGAGCAGCTGACTTGTCACTGTGTTTTGTACATAATTTCTGGATTTGTTTTTATTTTTTATTTTTTATTTTTTTGTGCTGTATACTGCTGTGAAACAGGGTTTTTAAGGTTTGTGTATATCTCCTCGTTCAAAATGTGTTTTTAGTCACCATAGAATCGATTTAGTTTTGTATTGATCCCTTTAATTTATTTATCTGTTCCTGGAGTTTATGTACATAAAAAGTGCTAAGTTTCAAAAAGCAGTAAAATATGATTTAAATTATGTTCAGCCCGGTGTGTGATTCAGTCCACCCCCCCCCCCCCCCCCACCGTTTTTATTTTCTTTTCTTCCAGTCTCTCCATCCACATCTTTAATGCGAGCTGACACATATGATGGCTGTTGTAGCAGACACCATGTGAGGCTCCTCATGTTCAACAATCACCCAGACACGGATTTGTGCTGCTTCTGCTCAGTGCTTACAGATGTGCCCAAACTGCTGCAGATTATAGAAGCAAACATTTTTTTTTTCTTAATATTTAAGTCAAGCGAGTGTGATAAATTAAAATTTGGGGGTACAGTAATCCTTTATTTCAACTGATTTGATTATCAGTGTTCCTGAAATATAAATTGATGTGTTTGAGCTTCACAAAATACTGATCAGCAGAGCGCATCAGGAAGCAGGTGCTGCTGAAAGTCTGACCAGACAGGTGAAAATAAACATTCCCAATGCCTTCTTGTTCAATTAAAAATACATTATTTTAAGAAAGGCACGTGAAAATGTGGTCATTTTTTTGAATTTATCTTTATCAGGAGGCTATTTAATTCTTGACAGAAAGTGTACTCCATTTAAAATCGAAGCCTGACTTCAAAACTTGGTTGATATGGACATTTTGCACAAAGCTCCGTGCGTAAAAACGCACCAATAAACCTGCACCAAATGCGTTTTTCCTTCAGAGTGAACTGAAGCGACCATAACATTTGACAAATATAGATTTTACTTGTCACTAATAATATGATTCGTACGTAGAAATAAAAATAAATAGCAAAAAAATAAGATTAAAAACGTATTTTGAATTTTTAGTTGCGCGTCTTGAGTTCGATCCTTCGGAAAGGAACGTTTTAATTTATTACGCATTATGATGCATTATTTTTACTATTATTATTATTTCACATTAAAAGAAGCTCCTGTCTCGTTTATTCCTTTCTATCCACAGCTTTAATCCTCTTTCTATTGTCACATTGATAACTTTTCCAATCCTTTGTGAACATCTATGGGCCCATTAAAGTAGCACTAAGGAGGCAGAGCTGCAGCAGAAATCTACCTATAGTCCCAGAAAAAGGCGCAGCTGCACATCCAAGAGGGTCAGTGTTATTTCGCTGTATTCTCTCCTTGATTATACGAGTTGAGCCCATCAAACCCGCCATAATTACAGTAATTTTGCCCTTATTTATTCTAATGCAGTTTCCTATCTCTGAGGTAATTATGAGCAATTTTATTTTTTTGTAACGAGGATCCTTTTTTTTTGCCTTAACAAAAGAGAGTGCTCCGAAGGAAATGTTCTGCTGCAAAAAGAAAAAAGAAAAAGAAAGGAGAAAGAGTGAGAGGGGGAGAGAAATAGGTGAGCTGCCATTTTGTCACCGTTTCCCTTAGATTTAGCCTTTTGCATAAGAGTGACAAATTGCTTGCAGGTGTACATCACCGACTTGTCAATGCAAAGAGGCTTCAAGATTAGAGACGCACGACGAGAGAGGAGCGAGCTGCACGCCTCCCGAGCTGCACAAAAGCATTTTTTATTTGCAATAAAGTTCAAACGAAGAAAACTGACGTTTCCCTTCTAAAGGATTCCTAATAACATCAGAGAATCTGCAACAAAACACGAGCTCGAATGATTAAATCAAAGAAATTAATCAAATTAATGAGATCAACCCTGTTTCCTGTCTTTATGGTGTCTAAAAGCTAAAGATGGAGAGAGAGAAAAAAAAACATTCAGCACACACCTTTCTGCTTGGAGTCGGAGCTTCCTCACTGGTTTTTTTTTTTTTTTTTTGCAGGAATCATCGTTGAGGCATCATGGCAACACACGCACACACAAACACACGCAATCGTGGCTTAAATCCCCACAAAACGTGTCCCCATGTGGGTCCGAGCTATAGCTGCAGAGTTCAGAATATGACTGGAAATCTCTGCTTTATTTCCCCCCTTTTATAGCCGATGGAGAGAAAAAATGTAGATTATTAGCATAAATGTTTACTCCTCATTACGCTGATGACATTGTGCACTCGAGATCTTGGTAATCTTTGGGGGAAATTATGAGTAATTTTTTTAAATTTTAAAGCAGCAGTTACCATGCAATTCAGGCTAATTCCGCGTAGGGCTGCACACGGATATAATTATCGTTGAGTCAAGATGGTAGGCTAAAAACTATGCATTGATATTCCCATTTATTATGTACATACAACTTTGACAATGTTGATGCTTGAAATAGCGGGAAATTGTCTTGTGTAAAAATTACACCCCATATTAGGACATGTGAAATTGCGAAGAATTATATAGTAATTGCAGGCTTTCAGATTTGAAAGCCAGAATGCTCCAACCAGAGCAAATGTGGATGAAATTACAGATCAGGGTTTAAATGAGGATGGGGGGGGGGGGGGGGGTATGTGGCATTTACAAGTTGCCTGGAGAAATGCAAAACTAAAAGCCACAACAGCTCTAATCCATGACTGGAATCACATGAGAAACTGAAAACATGCAGAAATCCTTTAAAAGGAACTTTTCCGCAAGATAAAACCATGCATGTGTGTTGTTAGTCTGTACGGTTAAATATATTACAAACTACAAAAAAAAAAAAAAAAAAAAAATGGAAGAAAAGGCTAAATGGGGCAGTTTGATTGAGTTTACAGTAGTTTTCCAGATCAATTGTTCTAAAATGCAGGTATGCAGTCAATGTCAACAAAGCCGAATCTGTCAAAACTTGAGTCACATGACAGACGTAGGCTGGCAGTGTGTATAAGCAAACTGGGCAGAAATAAACAAGAGTAGAATCCAGAAGCAAAATATTTAAAGATGAATGAATCTTATGAGTTTATTTTTCATATAAAACCAATTTAAACACAGCTCGTTTTCATGTCTGCTGCTGTTTAGAATATTTTAAAGCATTATCTGCATACTGAGTGTAAACAACAATCAAAATCTCTATCCCTCATGGATCTTCCCTGGGTGTAATCCTATTTTCAGTCACTTTGCTTGATAAACAAACGCGTTGGCATCAGGTCACAAACTGAGCTTATAAATCTTTATTATTTTTAAGCTAAGGAGATATGAAAAATAAAACTGTAAGGATTTTGTGATTGTTTTGGACCAATCAATGAGTATACCTTTAACACATATAGCTGCAGGCTTGAGGGCCTGTCTGATACTGTCAGGTGTGTGTGTCTGTGTATGTAGGGGCTCCATCATGCAGATATAGCACTTGCTGACATGCTACAGTCCTAATTATGTACAAGGAAACGATCTCACTTTATGGCCTGTGGTCGTTTAAAGGGAAGCACGTGGGGATGGCAGTAGATGTTAATTCCCACTAAGTGATAGGCTACAACTGACTAATATGCGCCCCACTGTTGGAGTCATAATAGGCCAATCTAAATAAACTGAAACTAAATATGTTTTATAGTGGTGTTTAAATATTTCATTGCCTATCTGTATTTTAAAAGCATTCAAAATGTTTCCAGGCTAAATGCAGCTGTTTTTTTCCACAGGCCTTTTCCAGCTGGGTCAACCAGCTCGTCTTTAGAGATCAGAGGTTTGTTGTGAGACATGAGAAGTGTTTGTCTGATGGTCCAGTTAGCTCTGGGCCGTCTTGGATCTTGTTCCCGTCTCCTTTTCCCCGTCTCTTGTTAAGATGAGTTCATAAAACGTCTGGAAAACGGTTCTCTGACTCCACGGAGTCTGCGTGAAGGAGCTACCCACCAGCATCATCACATCTGCACTGTGGTGCCCCCGGCCTCCTCCTTGCTGGTTGAAGAAATGAGCTTGTTTTTTTTTTTAAGTGGAAAAAAATATACAGAACTAAAATGTTTTGCTTTTTTTTTTATTTTATTTTTATTTAAACAACTTATGCTACATGTATAAATTAGCAAATAATAAGCATTTGTTGTAATAGCTGGCACGTTTATCAATAGGCACACTTAGATTAATATGAATTATTTGGTAAATTCAGGGGAAAAAAGACGAAACCACATTCACAAAAAAACATTTTATTTAAATAAAGTCTGGCCATATATGAAACACAGCTAAAATAAATAAGACAAAAATACAATAAAATGGAATACACAAGTAAATCAGAGGGTAGGACAATCAGTAGCTTGTACGGTGGTTAATGGATTTGCACCAACAGCCTAAAAAAATAAAATAAAATAAAAAAAAAAATCAGAGCAACATGGGTTATCAGAAGTAAAATATTTACAACGTGGATCCAGACACTTACCCTTTGAATATATTGAAATCAACTAATGAATTAAGATAAGTTTTTTTTTCTTTTCTTTCTCACAACAAAATGAGGTCATGTTGAAAAAGGCACCATACAGTTAACTTGTGCTACATCTGGTTCTCCTGAAGTCAATGATTTCGTTTTGCAGAAATGGCAAAAAAGTGACGTCCGCGTAAAAACGGGCTTATATGCGCCCAGGCTGTGATTGCTTTGGGTAATAGTGGTTCACTCATCCCTCACATAAACAAAATAAATAAATACAAAAATAACTGTAGAAATCTGCGTCTATCTCGTGAAAACCAGCAAGTTCCATGAACCTGTTTTGCTCCATCAATTTCTCCTAGATTTTGTGCGCAAAGGCGCACACAGTTAGGTGTGTAAAATCGAGGTTTTATCTCTTTTCTTCCCAACAGTCTTGTCCAATTTAGACCCGAACGTTGTGTTTCCCTTTCAGAATATCGTCCCTGCGTTTATGGCCGAGTTGTGGTGGTGCTGGACCAGAGCAGGCTGGAGATGCGTTGCAGAGTTCGTGCTTGAGTACCAGGAGTAGTTAGCCAAAAACGACGAGGGCGCAGCCGTGTTGGGGGGGCTGGCGCTCTGAGGTAAACTCGAGCTGACAGTGTTCATTCTTTGAGTCTGTGGAAAGTCCCAGGCAGATGTTGGAGGAGACGCGCACGGAGGAGATTCGCTGGAAGTAACGTGCTGCTCTGGTGGGATCTCTCCACTTTTCCACAGCTTTTTGAACTTGGAGCGGCGGTTTTGGAACCAGATCTTGACCTGAACCAAACACAGATATAAAATCGATAACTGATTTTCTCCGTCTTTAGCACAATTCATGCGTTTGTAGAAGTCAGGAAGGTGATATTTAACAGCAGTTTTACATGCACCCACCTGTGTTTGCGTAAGGCCCAGTGAGGCTGCCAGCTCGGCCCGTTCTGGTAGAGCCAAATACTGCGTCTTTTGAAACCTCCGCTGAAGTGCAGCCAGTTGGAAGCTGGAATAAATGGTTCGAGGTTTCCTGACCTTCTTTGGTTTTCCATTAACCATCCGGATTTCTGGCTCGCTCTCTTCTTTCTCTGAGGGAACAGTCAAAAGCAATTACGGTTAAAGTTTTGCTTCTTTTTTTTTTTCTCCCTCCGACCGCTGCAGAACTTTGGCGCATATGTGCGTAAAGTCGGCGTGCGTCTTTTGTGTGCACGTTGTAATAAAAACAACTAGATCAGATTTTAATAATACTTTGGTAATTTGCAACAGAGTTTTTTTTTTGTGTGTGTGTTGAACAAAAACAAATCAACAATATACTATTGCTTTGCGCATTTACGCACAAGGAAATGCGTGCGTTAAATCTAATTTCTGGTCTGGGAATAACTTATCAAATACTGTAAAATTGTGCAATGAGTTACTAATTTTACACAACGAGTTTGAGCTCAAATAAATGCGTAAAATTATATGTGTTCCAAATTTGGCACAAAACCTTACCTGTGTCGGCTGGAGTCGGAGAAGAGTTGGACCCGTAGGAGCTGTATGCACCATAAGAAGAGTTGAACCCCAGGTCGTAGGACTTTGCGTTATATGGCACAGAGCTCGTGGCGCTGCCGTGGTACTGGTAAGAACCGAGCTGGCCAAACGGAGAGCCGGCGCAGTGGCTCGGCTGCTGGCTGTTGTAAAAGCTGCTGTCCGTCGCCGTGGACACGGGCAGGGTCGGGGACTCCTGCGACTTGTGCAAGCTGTGGTAACTGTTTGAGGTAATCTGGTTCGAATGCATATCAGTATTTAAGTTCTCAAAAACCCCAGTCATCTTGGAGCAGAGCAGACTGGAAACCTGTATGCGCGAAAATCACCAAAGAAACACGACTCTGATCTGTCGGAGCTTTTTGTAAATCAAAACGCATCCCCCGCGCGAACCGAGGTAAAACGAGCAGAAGGTGTGTCCCCCACGCAGTGGCCTGTGATTATCTGCCACGGTCGGCGGTGGGAGCGCATTTATGTGAGAGTGAGCGCTGCTGTGTCTGAGGCAACCAATGGGTAAGGGCTGCACGACTGACTACTCCCCACGACATCTATTATTTGTCCAGGTCTGTCTTTTCCGGTTGTCTGCAGGCAGTTTGTAATAATAATAAAATAAAAAATAAATGTTAATAGAAAATCATACTCATCCGGATTTTTACATCAGCTCCAACCCAGATATAAAATGGCTCAGCGTGCTGCTGAAGATACATTTGAAGATTACATTTAGCACATTTTTACATGAAGCAGCCCATATGTCTTTTTGTTGTGAACTTTTTGCATGTTTAAAATAAACAATGACAAAAATAAATAAATAAATAAACTTTTACATTTCAGTTGGCACCACCAGCAGGTGAACAAGGGAGGATTTGGCCAAACGTCTTCTAAAGATGCTGAAAGTCAAAGTGTTCTTGATGCTGAAGGAGATTTGGTGACCACAGAACAAAACCACAGCGCTCCCACGTGGTAAAAAAAAATATTTTTATTTTTATTTCTCACGCCTTTGGCACACTTACAGCAAACCATAACTCATCCTTCTTATGACCCCAAAGACCCCATGGCTGTGTGACAAAGGTTCAAGCTGACCATGATTCACAGTGTGCTCCTTGAATCTTTTGAAAATAAAAAAGTTCACGAGTTATCCAGTTTGACAAGCAGAGATGCTTTTATTCTCACCACAAGATAGCAGCATAGTCCCTCATAGGAACCAGCACAGATAACTTCACTGAAACCAACAGAGATTATTAAAGTTTTGTTTCCTGACTGCTTGAATGCCACTGGATTCCAGTCAGCACCAGGGACTATTGATTGATCTTTAAGGTTTGATTGGTTGTTATGCTCATTTATTAATTTTATCGACTCGAAATGAAAATTTCTACACACCTTTGTCTTCCAAAGCACCACATTGTTATATGAAGATGCTGAATGTGATGGTGAGGTTAGGCCCGGGTACTCGGGGCTGTAGTCCCATCTCAAGACAGAAGGAACAGTTTGTTTTGCTCTTTGGTTTTCTCTATTTATGTTCAGTTCTGCACTGCTGTGACAGCGTAGGTCAGAAGAGACTGTAGAAGTAGAAGAATGAGAAAAGTTTGTACTTTCTATATGAAAGCAAGTGAGTTTAATCGTTGTCTCCTATTTCATTACAACACAGTTCTATTCAAACTGTGTATTAAGCATCTAAAGCCAGCCTGAGGCACACCTAACCATGCTGTTTAATCAGCATCTGGACCTGTGAGGTGATGGATCGTCTCGGTAAAGGAGAAGTACGGGAACAGACTTACACAAAATTGTGTACACAGAAAAAGTCTTAGATCTTTGAGTTCAGCTCGTGAAAAACACGAGCAAAAGAAAAGCGTCGCGTTTATATATTTGTTCGGAGAGTTTCTCAGGATGTCATCAGATTTTTAGATGGCGAGGGTAAAAAGACAAAATTCCCTCCATAAAACTCCAGGTTGTTTTACTTTAAAAAAAAAAAAAAAAAAAAAGAAGAAGAAGAAAGAGAGAGATTTTGGAAAAGCCAAACTATTTTGAACTTTATTCCGAAGGAGAAGTCAAAATCCAGAAATGCTGAAGTGTCATAATTTAGCTGTTCTTGTTCGATGCTCGCCTGCAGCTCCACGTGTCTCTCGGTATTTGTACAACACCTGCATCTTGTTATCATTTTTCTGTTTCCAATCGCAGACTGAGATATGCTGACATCATCTGAGCTTATCGTCTCCACAGACGCAGAAAACACTTTCAGAAGCTTTTCCTATAACATTTAAAATCACCACTTTCTGTTGCATTTCAAAGATAAAACAAGAATAACAGCATATTTATATACCGAGAGCTTCAGACTGACACTTATATGATTCAGTAATTCATCATCATCCAGAGTCAGTGAAAACTTGAAACTGCTCTGCAGAACGAAACCTCAGTTATGGAGGATTCAGTCAGTCCATGGTATTCATGAAGAGCAGGGCAGGCTGGTGTGGTGTCACAAAGTATCATTCAGGAACCTGCCGAGACACAAAGAGCTAAAATTCCCCAGATGGAGTCAAGTAGAAGCTGAAAACAAACATTTTTTTCTAATTAATTACACTCCCTGATAATGAGGTCATGGTAGCACCCTTTTAAAATATATTTATATTAGTTTACAAAACTTTTTTTTTTTGTGGGGGTTAATTTGTTACAGTCACTTTGCTTTCTCATCCGCATTTTGCCTGGCTCTGGTTTTGAGTTGTTCCTTGTCAGTTTGACGTTCTTGGATTTTATTCTTCGTGTGTTGATAATAAGGCAGTTCATTTGTTTTTCATAGCTTAAGTTTGTGTTCTCCTGATAAATAAACAAATGAACAAATAAATATTCTAGCATTGCGCCGCTCGGGGTGGCTGCATGTTGAGTAGCTCTGTTAATTCATTCTGAGATATTTCTTTTGGAAACTTTAATTCCTCTTTTTCTGGGTGTAAATCACAATTTTTGGATGATTGTTTCATCTGTTGTCAGATGCTGAGCAGCTGGAAGGATTTTTACTGCCACTTTTAAACTTTTTGACATTTGTTATGGTGCGTAACCATGACAACGAGGTGGTTTGTACAACCGGGAGCTGCTGATTACCATCTCAAAGCTCAAATAATATCTCAGTTACAGCCCCAAATTTCAAATGGGTTGAAAAGGAGGCGCTGTAGATGCATTCCCGTCTACCTCCCCGCTGTGCTCAAGTGCCTGACTGCTGAGATCCTGGAACTGGCAGAAATCGTGGCTCGTGACAGCAGAATGACCGGGATCGTCCTCCAGCACCTGCAGCTGGCTGTCTGCAGTGACGAGGAGCTAGACCGGCCATCGCTCTGAGAGGAGTTCAGGTGATCCTACAGCCAGGGGGAACCGAGAGACCTGCCGAGTCTGGGTGGATCGGACGGCATCTGCAGCCAGTTTCTTCAGATCCACTGTGGGACGGACCTTTACAAGAGATCCTTCCTGCCCACAGCCATCAGCATCTATAACATCTCTTAATGAAACGAGGATAACGAGTTACAACATTTATTTGAATTTCCACTGATGAATTTGAATAAAGTTAGATATTTAATGTATTCAGCATGATTCAAACCTTCTCCGCCAAGTGCACCATACACACCACTTTGTAAATAATCATTTTAATTTTTAAAAATTTGATACAGAAGGAAACCAAACAGTGGGTACAAGCAACACTTACATATAAAAACATCAAACTATTGAAATATGCACATGAAAAACAACATCATTGTGCGACATAAAGACCAGTTTTAAAATAATAAATGGATAACAGTTTTTACTTTTCTTTCACTCCTTAAAGTAAATATATTTCCATTCACTATCTCGTTTCCTGTATTTGTTATCTTTGTATTTTCATGCCGTTCATGTCAGCTAAATTGATTGTAAATGTTTTTTTTTAACTAGCAGAGCAGCTGAGACGATGAATCTTCGAGAGCTCAGAGATGTGAAAATGAGAGGAGATTTGAAAATGCCCTTTTTATATTCTCTTGCCTCATCATGAGTTAACTCATAAAACAGCTTTAAGCTAAAGTTTATTGTTAATTTCAACAAGTTTCACAGGAACTTTTAGTAATAATTGATTTTTTTTTTTCTGCTGCTGTTTCATCAATAGTCTAAAAAGCCTATTGAAGCATCCATCCATTGTTTAAAGATTAACTTTGAATCATCATTTTAGAAAAAAACAACATACATTTGATGTTTTTTTCACTTGTAATCTCATGTGTCACAACATATGACCACATTTCTTTTGTCCCTAATCAATTAATACGAAACATGCCTTTTTTGCCTCTATGATGGGGCAGATGTCATATCAACTTTTTAAATCAAGTGTGCAACCAAGAAACATTAAAAAACCTAATTGTTATTATTCTTTGTTGTTGTTTTTTAAAGTTATTGTTAAACCAAGTTTATGTAAGTATCTCTGTCAGTCAACAACAAATCAGAGCCAGCACCATTTAAACTGTCAGCAGTTTTCAAATGATTTGAAGAGAACAAGCGTGCTCCGAGAACAACTCCGCAGGCTCATATTGACAACTTGTCTTGAGGATTCAAAGTGCACAAAACAGGAAGTTGCTCTAAAAGATAAAAACCCTGGTGTTTCTGAGACATTATTGATCGTGGGAGTCTGTTGTCCTGTTTTTATTGGACAAGCTTGTATGACAACCAAAAACATGGATCTTTAAGATGTCAGACCTGCACACACTGAGTTTCTGCAGTGGCGTGCACGGTTTATAGTGCGTGCATGCTTCCACATCTCCTCTGATGTGCATTTTGTGTTAGGAAAGAAAAAACAACTCTGCTTCTGCTGTTGCCTTCATGAAGGTTTAATCACTACTCATTCATTTTTGTTTTATATGTTTAAAAAATGAAAGTACAAACATTTCTCTGCTATCATTCAGACCCAGATTTTCTCCTCTGAATGCTTCTTGTGATGCGTTGCTTGCAGATCCGTGACAAAATAAGGGTTTTTATTTATTTATTTTTTTTAGTGATAAGAGGGATGTTTTTTTGTGAACAAGACTGCAGGACACCAAACCAGGATTACAAAAATCCTCTCGCTGTACCCTAAAGATTTTAGGCAAAGATTATTCTGTTTTGTTTTTGCTTTGTGGGGGTGGTCTCTCTGCAAGGCTGCATGGAAGGAATGCACTCCTTTTGACTCATGTCTGCTGATTTCTTGCACGTAACATTTACTGCAAACCGTGATATATTTGTTGATTTAAATGTCTGAATAAGTAGAATTGCACAAATGGTTTACACAAACTGAATACGATGTATGATGTAATTTATTGCATCATTCAGACCTTGTTAGAAGGCTTTGCTGTGTTTTCATCTTGATGCAACTTTAAGAAGTTTAATGTGTAAAACGTTATTGTGTATTTTCCCATCCATCCATCATCCATCCATCCATCCATCCATCCATCCATCCATCCATCCATCCAT